GCACCTGAACAACTGAGTTTCTGTAGCCTGGGGCTCAGGCTCTGTGTCTGTCTGGTTGTTATTCTGGATCACACTCCAGCCCAGGGGGGTCTGCAGCAGCAGAGGGGAGGGAGGCGAGTAGGGAGGAGAAGGAAAGGAAAGAAAATAAATAAAATATCCCCAAGCAACAATAACTCAGCTTGACTTCAGAGGTGAGAAGGATGCAGTTACATGCTTATTATTGTTTATCTGTGTTGTGATACTTCCTAAATTCTGTAGTGACTGAGGTTCCCTCTGTGCCAAGCGGGATGTCAAAAATGATTCCTGCCCATGAAGAACTTCCATCCTAGGTTTAAGGTAGGGGAGCAGAGGAGGATCCAGGCAGGAGGACTGTGATGAGACAGTAATGCAGTATCAATCAGCAGAATAACCAGGAGTCTCAGTGAACCTCCTGCTGTAACCACTGCAATTCATTTAGTTTACTGCCATTATCATCGCAATTAGTGTTTCATTTTTGCAACGTAAGGTTAATAATCTAATAACTGTATGGGTTACCCACTCCTCAGCTCATTTGTTGTACCATTCAGCAGGTATAATTTGTTGCAATTTTGTATTATAAAGAACTAATTAACAACAAGATTATTTTCCCACTGAACTTCACAGGAGTTTTTTGTCTCGGACAAAAATTTTATTTTTGTTCTGTGCCATGTTCTGCACTTGGTAAGCTGAGCTGCTGAGAACAACAGTCATTTCATCAGGCAGAAGTCCTAATTCAGAGCCAGGTGGCATGAGTGAAAGGTATAATACACATTTTTCAATTAACAGTGTTAACAAGCTTGTTAGAAGAATTTTTCTTTCTTGTCTTTACAAGTGTAATATTTAAGGTCAAAAATTATAAATAAATCAAAAGGAAGCAAGAAACAAAGCTTGCAAGAGTAGTGAGCATGGAAACTACAAAATTACTATTAATTATTATAATTACAAAATTATAAATCCCCATCCTGCCACCTCTGAGGCCAAAAAAACATCTCGCACCTGATTTATTTCATCCCATTAATTTCTTGGATTTTCTTTTGTCTTTTGCTTCAGATTTACACCAGTCTGAGTCCAGAGCTCAGTCTCCATGTCACCAGCTTCTGCATGGAGCCTCTAAATCCAGCCCCTGTATCTGGAATGTATCTATTGTATGAATGTAACATTTCATGTAACACACCTGGGATTTGTTGTTATTGCACAAAAGTGGCAGTTCTGTGTTGAAAAAGATGAAGAGGCCAACCATGACTATCTCACTGCTGATACTTCAAAGATTTCAGTCCAGGATGTATTTGTTTTATTAAATAATACCCAGACTTCACAAGTGATGTCTATATTGTCCTTCAGCCTTATAGACAGGGTTATTAAAAAAAGAAAAGAGAAGTTGTGCTTGATGAGTTGTTTTAAGAAGCTATTATATTATTGTAATATGACCACTGTGCTGGCAGGCTTTTGGCAGGTTTCAAATAAACATGCCAGGAATAATTTTGTTGACAGCATCTTGTGTTGGAGCACATCCAGCCTTCATCCATAACATGTCAACACAGTGATTCTTTCACAGGCAGGAAAATATGTCACCTTGGATCTGTATTTTAGAGTCTTAAAATACTGTAGATGTCTAGATTAATGGCTCCAAAATCAACTTCACAGGTGGCTAGTGAGGTTTTTCAATCACAAATGAATATGTAAATGATAGCATTTGCAGTTTTTAATATGCAGCATCAATGAAGTGTGCTTATGTAAAAACCTGTGGAAACATCTGGTTTACTTTCCAAATCCAAAATCAATTTAGTTTTCATGTAATAGGAAGAAGGAGGTGAAAAACGAGAAGCAGAGGAAAAAAAAGGAGAAAACCAGGCTGAAGGGTTTTCTTTAGCTTGTTTGCAGAGGTCAGGATGATGTGTTAGTGAGGCAGAGAGGAGGTGGTTCCTACTGGTGAAAACTTCAAGGTTTTCTTTCATTTTCTTTTCATCAGAGCAGAAACCACATGAGCTTGGTTTATTTCCTTTTGTGTCACATGCTCAGATTTCAGTATGAAACCCAAATTTGCTATCTTTAGGATTAACACAAAAACATCTGCTTGCTGGTCAGTTTAGATCTTCATGTTTATCTCTGCAAGCTGGGTCTTTCAGGAACAGATAAATTCCAGCTCTGAGCTCCGTGCTGGAAATGCACCCTTTGAGCTGCCATTTCATCATTTACATGCTTGAATCAGTTCCTGCCCAGGGCTGAATTAAACACCTTCCTGGCTTCAGTCCCAAGTGCAGAGGCTCTCCTGAGCAGTGTGGACAGGCAGCTGATGCCTGATGCTGGGAAATCCCAGTGAAGGGTGAGGGTTTGCTGCCAAGGGCAGGGGGTATCACAGGCAGGTGGAGCTGTAATCCCCTGGAGGTAAAAGATGGTCACAGCAACATCCCTCTGGAATTAACAGACATACAGAGAGGAATAATCTGAGGTGGCTGTCATGAATATGGTGTGATGTGTCTGCAGTTTTGCTGTAAGTGATTCTGTCAAAAGGGACTTCAAATGACTGAGAACAAAAGAGCAGCTTTCCAAAGCTCTGCTGAACAAAGCTGTTTATCTTTCTTTGAAAAGTCATTTATCTCTCCTTTTTACCAGGGGAAATTTCCTGATGGAATTTTGAAAAGAAAGTGAAAATGTTCTTTTCTATTTCTTTGCAGTGTATTAAACCCCAATATTTTGCTTATGAATAGTTTTCCTCCTCTTGATACCCTAGAAATTCACAGGCTTTTTTTTCTGTGATTTTGCTCAAATATTGATTGAATGCCTGGAGAATTAATGGGATTGACTTGATAATGGATTCAGTGCAAGTACAGCTGTCCTGAACGCTCAAGTACATGTGTGTATTTCTGTCACACTGGGACTCATGGATGGGAAAATCACACTTCATGCAAGGTGCTATTAAGCTCTTGAACTACATCTAGGTTTCTGGATATTGTTCAAGTCCATGAGCTAATTTCTTCTTCAATTTTAAAACTTCTGACTATTTGTGGTGCCCAACTCAACTCAGTTTCAGGTCTGTGACTGTTGCCATCAGTTCTGTAACACTGTCACTGTTTTTCCTCTGTCCCAAGACACTCTGAGGGCTTGGCTGGGTTTCTCACCTGCTTCTCCACAGTTCTTCCATTTCTCTCTAGATCCCCCTGTACCCTGATGTGAAAGAAAGAATATTTCTGCCATCTACTAAGAAGCCCTGCATCATTCCCCTGGCTTATTTATAATTTTCCTTCCCTTGGAAAGCCACAGACTGTCTTTTGTGTATTTTTGCATCACCTGAAAATTGGAGACTGTAACAATTTCCTAAAAATGGCATTAGAAGGCTAAATTGATTAACATTTGTATTCATATTTAGGATAAAGAATCTGTAGGAATGGAAGTATTTATTCTGCTTGTTTGTTGCCAAAATTACATTTCTCAAAGCTCCTGACCTACTTTTCAAATTTTTCTCCAGTAACAGTAGTAACTATAAATTATTTTTCATTTCAAATGGAAAGCCAGGTACAAACAAGGGGGAGAAAAGGAAGGGGGGTGTTCTCACCTCTACCCCTCTTTGCCAGAAGGAAGAGAAGTCTCTCATCTTTTCCTGAATTAGAATAAATGATGGAGTGCATCAGGTGTTTAATGCCTCAAACTTGGCTTTTTCCATTGCAGATTTACAGCTTTTGTAGAGATTAGATCCCCAAACATATAGAAAGTGATTCTAGGCATTGTCTTTTTTCTGTAAAATAAATTCTAGGGAAAGGTTAAAAAATATGTCCCAGCATCTTCTGAAAACAAAACTGTGAGGTTTGCCTTACTTGTCTCTTCCAGTCTTGCAGTCTTGTTGCTGTGTATAAGAAACTGAAGTAAAGCAAACTCTGAATAGCAGAAGAACTTAGTCTACTAGAAAGCTTTTTGTTTTCATAAAAAATTTAAAATGGAAAGAAAATAGTCTTTTAAAGAAGTACCAGCAGCTCTGATTTGGACACACCATCCCTCATAATAAAGGAAATGAGGCAAAAAAACCTAAATAGATGAGTTTCACAAGGAGGAGGAGCATCCAGAGTTGTTCTGGCTGTGACCAGATCCCCTGAGTGAATTCAGCCTCCCAGAAAAGCAGAGTGCACTAATATTTCATACAGTTCCTGTGGGTGCTTCAATGCACGCATGAAACCACATCTAGTGCAAAATGCTAAGAGGAATCCAGCAAAACACATGAAAGTGCAATAAATTTTTAAGATCTTGTGAGTGTGAACACAGCACTTCATAAAAACATCAGTCCTGAGAGCAGGGCTGCTGTGTACATTGTAGGCAGAACATATGGTGCAGCCACAGTGCAGTCAGAGCTAATCAGTGAGTGGTGATGGAGCTTTTATTCTGAAGTTTTAAGGATGTGATTAAATTTAATGTATATGCTAGACAAGAAGCCTGTCTTCAATTCCTCAGACCTACCAACCCAGGAGTGCACACTGCATGCCCTGAGGAGATGTCATGTTTTCTGGGAAGGCAGGAAAGTTCACCAGGGGGATATCCTTATTGATTTTTATCTCTATGCATGCCCCTGTGAATTATTTATCTTCCTGTATGCTTCTCTGACATCTTATTATGAAAGTCTCTTGAAGGTTACTGTAATGCTCCTCATTCCCAGACTTAATGAGAGTTGGTAGGAAATCGGCGTTGATGAGTGAGTTTGGATGAGAGCTGGGATGGGGGCTGGTGCCCGTGTGCCAGGAGGTAATGGAGAGTGTGGGTTCCACTGCTGAGCCACCTGTGGGTACATTACATTTATTTGCTGTATAATTATTTGGGATGAATTCAATTAATGCCACCATGGATTATAACAGCCTGAACTGTATTTGGCTCGAGGGCGTCACCCACCGTGGTCACCGGGTGTAGTTCTGCAGACATACATTGCTGTCTGGATTCTGTGCATCTTTCCTTGTCTGAGTGCCCTTTTCTAAATGTTCATCTTCTTTTGATGTTTCTAGGAGCTGGTGGGGAGTAATCCTCCTCAAAGGAACTGGAAAGGAATTGCAATTGCCTTACTTGTTATTCTCGTTATCTGCTCGCTGATTGTCACCTCTGTCATACTCCTGACACCAGGTATTTATAACCTTTAACTCACTTCCAGTCTGGTTTTCTTCTGTAATTTTACACTTCCAAGAGTAAAGGGATTACAAACTAACTGCAAAGTCGACATCAAAGGAATCCTCCTTCCTCACTTTATCTCAGTGTGATGCTGAGTTCAAGGCTATTCTTAGGGAGATTGTTTTAGAGTGTCACAGTTCAGTTCAGAAATCAGGACTGCTGACCTGAGGGCACAAGCTGGGAACTTGATTGCCTTAACATGTATGGGGAATGTCATTTTAGACAGGCCAGGGTAGGAGAGGAACCCACATGGGGCAGTCAATGAGGGCACAGGAGCTCCTGAAATTCATGTCCACATGGAGCAGTAGTTGCCTGTTGAGTGTCATATCCTGGACCATTGGAAATGGCATTAGGTGCCTTGGCACCCAAATCCCATCCCATTCAGTTGGATTGATTTTAGTTCAGACCACAGTGTTTACAAGCAATTTCAGATAATTATATACTAGATTGTACTTATCCACAGCAAATAATTAATAACTTCCCAATAAGGAATTCTTTTAGTTAATCCCCTTACCAAGTTTCAGCAAAGTTCTGTGCACGTAACCTCTGTAAATTACTTCTCTTACAGTAGCTGCTGACATTGTAGGCTTGAATTTTAGTGTGGTGTCATTATGATTATTGATTATTATGCATTTATACAGCCCTGAAAATTTCCATGCCTACTTAGGGAGTAGAAATAAAGCGCTTTTGCAGCACTGACAAGATTGTGTGAATATGAAAAGACAAACAAAATGAGAGACAAGACATAGAAAAAAGAATTCAGTGTCAGAAAGGGTGAGGAGCTACAAAACCCAGGGGGAGACAAAGGTCCCTTGCTCAGGGATGTAGAGGAGAACAGGGATGAGTACAGGAGAGTGGTAGAATCAAGGGAGCAGCAGGAGAGAGAACACAGAGCTGAGGAGCAGAATGGGGGCAAGAGAGAAATGAAACCTCAGGAAGTGGAAGAGCACAGGGTAGTGAAGTGGTAAAATGACAGAAGTTGTGGGGCAAAAATTTCCAGCTCATTACATGCAAAATACATGCAGTCCAGCCGGTCTAGGCCATCTTCCCTGACAAAATTCTTATCCCACAGTCGTGCTGTGTGAGGAACTGGAGACAGGGACAAACCAAGAAATACAGGAGTGCATTGAGTTAATTAGAAAATGAGTGAAGCAATCAGTACATTATTTTTTCAGTTATTTATTGTCATGCCATATTCAGTTTATTTCATGTTATCCTGAAGTTTTCAATGCAAATTTAAGTTCCATGTGGTCATACCAGAATAATTATGTAATTAAATTAAATAAGGTTAAACTGCATTAAAGATCATTTATTAAATTAATTTTGCTGGTGTTCAGATTCAACATCTTTGGACAGTGCTGTTCACCTCTGAGATGTTTTGGGGCACAGTGTGTGGACTACACTCACATCAGGCACAGCTTATTAAGTGTGCAAATATTGCCTGCAGTTTTACAGAAGCACAGACTTCAAAGATGTACAGGAAAGCCTCGATTGTGAAGTCCACACCCGTGAGCCCCAACAAGTTCACTTGAAGCTAAAGCACTGCCTAGCTGGGACCTAGATGGGTGTCACTTCCATCGAAATCCAAAATCCTTAAATCCACTGGCTTCCCGTGATCAACAGTGTGGGTTACCCTGTCATGATATGAAATGAGGTTTGATAAGCAGGACTCTGCCCTCTCCAGGCTTTGCTGGCTGTGACCAATGACTGAATTGTTTTAGGTGTTTTTCAATACCTCCCAGAATAATCTTCTCCGTAACTTTCCCATGCACTGAAATGTCACTAACAGGCCTGTAGTTTCCAGGATTCTCCTTCTTCTTCTCCTTCTTGAAATATTCACATTCAGTTTAAATAAAATTAAGAAGTGTATTTATTTATATATGTATTTTATATATATACACAAAGACATTCTCCCTTTGGGATGTGTCTGCACACACATGCACACATATAAATCACTCAGTTTTTATTATGTACCCAGCAACATCTCCAGATAACAGTGTTGAGAGGGTTTCTGTGCATGAAACTTAGGAATATGCAAAGTCATTTTCTTTGCTGGAATTTCCATTCATGGGTTTTTTTTTTTTTTGAGATTTCTGATTATCTGATCTGCTGGTAAGCTGGGTTTGGGTTGGTTTTTTCCCTCTGTTGATGTTTCAGAATTGTGTCTTACATGCACATACAAAAACTCTGAGCTTGGAGCTCCTGTTTTTATTACGGATCCAAAGTGCTTCATGGTGAGACTATGCCAAGGGTAAATTACAAAGCTTGGTCTGCTGCTGTGGCTTGGCAGCAGCTGAGTTCAGTCTTCTTCTAAGCCACTGGCAATGGAACCTGTTACAAGGTTGGGCAATAACAGAAGGGAAGAGGAGTCTCATTTCATGGGCTAAGTGGGACTCTGAGACTGGTCTGACAAATGTAAAATTATCACATTGCTAATCCCAGCTGGGCATAGCATGTCCCAGCAAGGTAGGAGTGGGGGAGGTGGAGGAGCCTGTCCAAAAGGAGAGGCAGAGTCTGCATTTCTCTCCCATAAAATCGTTCTCTGGAAGGAGAAATGTTTATCTTTTGATGGTCAAACTGAAAATTAAGTGATGGATGTGTGAACAAGGGGTGAGGAAAGGGCAGGAGCCCAGTGAAGGAAGGAGGTGGAGCAGTTTTGTGGATGTTCAAGGGGAGCTGTCAAGTATGACTGACATCAGGAAACAAACAAAACAATCAAACAAAACCCCCTCTTCACTGCAAAAGCCTCAAAGGGGGTGATGCAGTCTGGCATGGCTTGGGCAAAGTACCTGAGGATATTCAAATGTTTTTAATTCTTCTTTCTAATGATATTGTTGGAGTCCAGCCTGATGCTGTCACACCAGTACAAATAACCTTTTGTATTTTGCCTCTGAATCCTTACTTTTTCCTATCTATCTCAGTCCTCTTCCTGTCTGGGAAACCATTTTTCTCTCAGTATTTTGGTACTGGTTTGAAGGCTTGTTTTGCAGTGCAGTACCAAGGCATGAAATACCGAGATGCTTTAAAACCAGTGCTGAATATCATTCAGTGCCTGATTCCAGAGTAGTTTTGGACATATGTGGGGTAGAGTGCAGCATGCAGGCATATAGTCCATGCTCAGACAAAGTGATTACCTGGATCATAACTTGGTCTAATACTGGGAGAGCTTGGATAATCTCTCGGGCAGTCTCCTGCAAAGTCAAGAACAGGAAGCGGAGAAAGACTTGCTTAGCAGGGCACATAATGATTAAGGTATTAAATAACTGGGGAAAATAAGGACTTGTATGTCTCTTCCAGATTACTTTTCAAATCAGCCCAAACATTTAAAGGTTTTAATTCTGGATTCAGAAGGGCTGAAATCCCTACTGCTTTGGGTTTCTTAGGAGCAGGTACTCACCCTGCTCCTAGATTAGCACAAAACCTGGGAGCAGTGGACTTTGCATTCAGGAGGCACTGTAATTACAGTGGCAGTGCTCTATTACTAATTAATGTCTCATTTTATAAAACCCTAAAAACATCTCAACATTTATATGGTTTGTGTATCCATTGATGTTCTAGAACAACATTCTCAAAAGTAGTAATTGGTGGAAGTTTACATTTAATTATGCTATAGGACACCACACGTACATCATTGCCTATGCTGAGCTTCTCCAATTTCATGGTGTGTGAGTCCTGCCATTTCACTCACCTTTGAAAAATGTTGAACCATTTATACAAATGATGACAGTGCTGTCCTGAGGCTTTCCTAACTGGCAGCTCCTCACTTGTCACAGCATGGGGCGCTTGTGCAGGTTCCATTCCATTGTTTGTGTATTTACATAAAGACATGCAGAACTTTCCAGAAGTCTGCCCATGCATACACACAGAGAGCAAAGCTGAAAAGAGGACCCAGCCCTACAGAAATTTTGAGTAAAATAAGGCCTTCCCAAATTCCATTAGACATTGTGCTTAGGAAGAGTGTGATTTCTCATACATCTGTTCCTGATATTTAAAGCTTTCTGGAGATATACATCACATTTGCTCCTTTCAAATCTGACCTTTTAGTTGGAAAAAAAAAAAAAAAAAAGAAAGTACATCCTAATCCATATTAAAATTTTTGAAAAATCCATAAGAAATATTTCTCAGAAGTGTTACTGAGCTAGTCATTGCATAGCATTAATTCACAGCATGCTGTCTGACAGTCAGAGGCCTTGCCTAGAAAGCTTTGTAGCTCTTGTGATACTCAGAGCAAGGCACTATCCTTTGACCAGCTGTGCAGGAGAGCAATGTGTTAACCATAGTTATATATAAATGTGTATTTTACACCGTTACAAGCAGGTGGGATTTTACAGAAGGGAGAAAGGTTTACCTTTTCTGGCTGCTGCCTTTTGGGTGCAGAGATTTCATCTGGGGGATAAGAGGGGTTGGGTCTGCCCAGGGATCCAGCAGGTGTGCTGAGGTGGGGATGGAGCTCCTGGTGTGCTGGCCAGAGAGATGGAGGCACTGTCCCTCTCCTGCAATGCACAACAGGCCAGGAGGTGTGTGAGGAGAGCACCCAACACCAGCCTGTGGCTGAGCACCAGGGTGATGGAAAGAAAGGTGGGCACCCAAAGGCGGCTGCAGGCTTCTGACCTATCAAGCAGCCTCTGAGCATAGCTGGAGTTGAGAAAAAGCTTGAAAGAGAAGAAGGAAAACAGGCAGTGAAGTCAGCTCCTTGCTCCTTTTTGGAGCTTTAGAGTTTTCTGGATTTGTGGAGTTTTCTGGATTTTTTGGAGTTTTCTGGGTTTGTGGAGAATCTTTGTTCTGGAGAGCTGTGGGACGTCAGTTCAGCCCAGGCTTGTTTGTGTGCAAGGATGAAGGGGAAAAATATGAACATTGAAGAATATAATTTACTTTGGTAAAAGTGAAAGTTTGTTCTGAAACACCTTTTAGTGGAACAAAACACTGTTCACAGGTATTTTTCTGGCATCTCAGGTAGCTCAGGGGCTTCAATTTAATACAGCAAAGAAGACTTTTTTTTTCCCCACAAATAAGTGCCTTCAGGGTCTGCTTCCACTTCTCTAATCATAAGTGTTCAGTGTAAGTTTAGCACTAAACAATATTAAAGATATCTAAGCCTGCCAATAAACCTCAGGCATGAAGACACTGTCATGAAGAAAGTTGCTGGAACTCACATTCCTGCTGTGGAAATATTCAGAATGTGCCTCCTCTTTTCTTTAAAAGAGCAAATGTATTTACAGCTGACTGAAAAGTTTCCATGAAAATATTATTTCAGCAAAAAATTGAATGTTGACAACAAATTACTCATAGAGGGTGACTGCTTGTCAAAACAAAAAAAATATTACAGTTGATGGGAAAAGAGGAAAGAGGGAACATATTAATCAAAATTGTTGGGTTTTCAAATTTGTTAGTTTTTCTCTAAAACTTTCAGCTTTGATATTTCCATGTTTACAAATGAAACTGTATATTCTTTCACTAAAAATTAAAATTAGTATAGGCCAGCTATGCAACCCCTAAAGATTAAGGGTTATGTCTCATAGACTTTTCAAAAATATTTCTGAAATCAAATGTCCGATTGCCATGGAATATCTTTTGTGAATTTCTGAAGTAATGTGTATGAGCCCTTAGTCAGAAGGTTAAACACCTTTCCAACTATGGTTTTATGTTAAAATTTTTAAGGAAATAAAAATATAAGCTGTAAAAAATGAGCCTTTTTAAATACTTTTTTAATTGTAGCTCATAATTGCATAAATATTTTAGGCTTTAGCTGTCAAATAGTAGGCACTATTTATCACTATGACACCTATAAGTGTGTTTGCATGACTTAGATTCTTTTTTGATCATGTTAATGTCTGAAAATGTGTGTTTTGGACCATTTCTTGGTCTTTTTGTAGCTGTTAAGACCAACAAGGAGGTTTCTGTTAGTGAGCCATTAGGTGAACCTTTAATAACACTGACAGTGGGAAGGGATTTGTGTGTGACACAAAGTTTAATGTGGACTGTATCCAAATGAGATAAGTCACTCTTCACAGTTTCTGTGCTTTCAGATACATTTCAAAGCTGAATTAATGGTAGTTTAATTTTGAATGTTTTACAGTGGAAGATAACAGCTTGTCTCAGAAGAAGAAGATAACAGTGGAAGATCTCTTCAGTGATGATTTTAAGATTCATGACCCAGAGGCTAAATGGATAACTGGTGAGGTTTGAGCACTTTGTAGTATCTTTGCTTTGCATCCTTGCTCCCTGACCATTGCTTTTTTCGTGTATTTCATAATTCCTTCAGTTCTTTATGTTGCTCCTGAAATTACAGGATCAAGGACTGGCTGGGGTTGGAAGGGACCTCTGGAGATAATCTTGTCCAAGTCCTAGCTCCAGCAGTGAGAGCTATTTACCCAGAATTCAAATTCCTCAAATTCCCTTCTCAACCTTCAAATTCCTATTCCAGTTTCCCACCTGTTAAAAATGCAAACACTCCTGTTCTAACTTTTTACCTAGGTTTGCCCAGTGAGCTCATAGATAGGCATGGAAAACAGCAGCCTTTTTCTCCAAGAGCTTCCAAAACTTAGTAAGTGATGTAACACATGGTTGGAGCACCATCAGTGATTATTTTGCCACAAACAAGACTGGAGGTTTATATTCCCTTATCAAATCTGTTCTTTTTCCTGGCAGAGAGGTGAAGCAATGCTAACAACAGGCAAACAGTGCTCCAGCAGCAGCTGGGCTGGAGCTTGCACATGAGCCATGTTCTCTTTTTATCCTCTGCTGTCTTACATTTTCCAGTCAGGGGAAAACCAAATAATACTTGAAATAATGCATATTGGATTTGCTGGAGTGGAGCTACTTTGGGGGATGTAGATTCCAGCTCTCCCCGGAAATTGCTGCAGTCAGAACAAGCTTTGTTGAGAACAAAATGATTTGTGGTGTGCTGCTCATGTGAGTTCTAGTCCAGCTCTTATTATCACGGAAGTTATTAGCTTTTCTTTTGAATTTAATGGGGAACTGGATCAAGCCCTTCCTCTGTTTAGCTTTCCTTGTCTGCTGTGCCCATTGGGAACAATTTTAATACCTGTAATGAAAAGAGAGAGTGTTAAAGGGTAGTGCTGAATTGACACATTCCCCAGCTGCAAGTTCTGCCACCCACTCAAGCAGAGGGGGAAGGTGTTGCAGGCAATAAACACCTTCACAAACACACCTGCCAGAGTGCAGGAACTCTTTTCCAGGCTGTGTTCTCCTGGGAATGGTGCTCCCCACAACCATTTGCTGGGAATGGTGATAATGGAAATATGAGCTGCATTGCAGTTCAGGGCTTTTTGTCTAGAATCCTTTTCCTTTTATCCTTTTACAGATATCCTAATGGCCCTAATGAAGGAAAAGGTGTTTTACTGAGACCTTGACTGCTATTTTCTTTATTTGCTTGAGTATAGCAAATAGAGCATAGTGGAGGGAATGATAATGAATTTACTAAACTTTTGCAGGAACAGAGAATGAAGTATTGCCATAGAGCTGGTATAACATCCCCCCACTGATGAGTATCACTTTATGTGGTCATCAGGCTTTCCACAACTGCAGTCTGCTATGAAAAATCAGCATTTCCCTTGTTCTTTCAATTATGATCACATACTAAAGTCATATAAACTTTTATTAAGATTAAGATTCTGATTTTGAGTGTTTTAAAATCCACTTCTGCCTTCTCATGTACCCTTAATGACTCCAGTGCTGTCTTGTTTCTGAATTTACTAAAATATTGTTTCTGTAAGAGACAAAATACAAAGAAATATTAGGAAAACATACACAGAAATTTTAGAATTACTTATTCTACTGTTTTGATATGAACAAACACTGACACTGATTTTAATACATCTAAAGGAATTTTATGAAGCCAATAGATACTTTGCAGATTTACCCAAGGGTGACTTTGCATTTAAGGGCAAGATGCTCATCTACAATGTCATTCATCCAAGGACCCAAAGCCATTTTACATTAATTGCTTTTCTATATTTTAGTTGGATTTTTCATATCTTTCTCTAGCTGGCTAAGTGGTGAAATTGTGATTAAGATGAAAGACCAGTAGCCAGATTCCTAAGCACATGTTGTTATTGGCCTCTTATTTTTCAGCATGCAAATGAAAGACTCCAAAAATGCCAAAGCCAAACTAATTAACTTAGTATAACAAGATTGCTGGAATGCCCTAGCAAGAGAAAAAAAAAATGCATATTTGAAAATAGCATATTAAAATTGGATGACTGCTCACAAACCAAAGCTGATGCTTGGTGGGGATCCACACAGTTAAAATAGAAGTATATAAATATAAAATAAATGGGTAGCTGTTGTGTGTCCTTCTTCCCTTTCCTCTCCTGTTAATCACACAGGAAAATATCACAGTTATTCAGAGCTCTGCAAAATTCAGTCCTCCTGGCTCATTAAAGCTCTGTTTCCTTCCTTTCCCTCTACATTATTGCAGAAGAGAGGAGGTTGGTGGCCAGAGATGAAACACATTGCATGCTTAGGAGTATTTGAATCATCTGAGGGATTTGCTCCCAAAATAATTCAGTCAGTAAAATATCTGTGTTCTTCCCAGTAAGCAAGGGGCTGATTGAAACACTGAATGAGGAAGGTCTTTCCTTTAACTAGAATGAGTCTTAGAGCAAGTGTTTCAATAAATAAAATATTTATATTCAGGGTCACACTTAAAAATATGCTGTAAGTTCCATGAAATTGATGTGTTGAGCTCATGTTTTACTCTTTACTTGATTCTCAGTGGGCATTTGGAAAAATAACATATTTCTAATCAATAGCTTTGTGTCATTCTATTCTATTGATTTTAAAAGACCTAGGAAAAAAGAAAAGGACCAGTCTCAAAGCTGACATAAATACACTTTCAGTGTAAAGATTACAGGGTTTATCTCAGCTTCCAATCAGAACTTTGTGCATATATTTGCATTTTTTTAAATTGGAATTGCAATTAAATTTACTTACAGAAAATGAGGGGTGACAAAGTTGTAAAGTTTTGTAAATTTGAACACTTTACAATTTTTGTGATGCCACTGTAATTTAAAATTTCAGTTTGCATTTTTGTCCACTGGTTTAGGGAGAGGAAAGAACACTTTGTTTAATTAGCAATTGTCTTCTACTGTCCTGACCACTGCTGTCTTTGGCTCTGTTCAGAGCAATCCAGAGAGGAGTGATGTATTCATACAGCAATAGTGACAGGCCAAGGGGGAATGGCTTCAAACTGACTGAGAGCAGGTTTAGACTAGATATTGGGAATAAATTATTTACTGTGAGGGTGGTGAGGCTCTGGAAAAGGTTGCCCAGAGAAGCTGTGGATGCCCCATCCCTGGAAGTGTTCAAGGCCAGGCTTGGAACAACCTGGGATAGTGGAAGGTGTCCCTGACCATGGCAAAGGATTGGAACTGGATGATCTTTAGATCCCTTCTAACCCAGGCCATTCTGTGATTCTATGATTCTGTGACTAGTATGGAATGCTTCCGAGTTTATTTCTAGGTCCACTTCCAGGAACTGCTCTTGGTTAGGTTTTCCCTGTAGTGTGAGTAAATGCTGGCTTTACTGTGAAGGTTTCATTTTTCAGGGCAGCATAGCATGTGTTATACTATAGTAGGTGTAAAGCAGTGAAGTACAGGAAATTTGGGGTTTTGCTGGTGATTAATTGGCACCCCCTATCCAGCAGTCCAAGTGGAAATAGTCTGAGCTGTGTTCCAGCCCCATTCATCCCACCCCTCCTGCACTGCTCTCCTCATCCCTCCACGCCTCACACTCTGCACTGAACTCCCTTTCCTGTACAACTACAATTATATTGTCCATACACTTAAAAACCACGTGAGCTCCAATCAGTGTCCCTCTTCATAGTGTGTATCTTAAATGTAGTATTTAACCTCTCCTTGTTTTCATATCCCCCTCCACAGCCCGTGAGGATTGTCCTGTGCCAGCCTTTTTTCAGCCCTCTCCCAGCTGACAGGTGGCCTACTCGTTAGTCTAGTCCCTAATTGTTCAGCAGTTCTGCTCATGAGCACCACATTACCTTGTAATTAGGCTTCGCAATTATTGGGCTTTTCCTGTAATTTCTCTCACACAGCAGTTGAGCTCAGGTTTCTGAAAAGCTCAGTGGGATGGTGCAATGTTCCTGTAATGTTCTGCAAAAAACAGGAAAAAGAAATGTGTTGTCATTTTGTGCTGAAGAGAAGCTCGGTCATCTGATCTCTTCTATAAACAATAATTCATAGTCATTATTTAGACCTGACCTGAGGAGGCAGTCGAAGTTGAGTCATGTGTTCTGGTTTTGTGACCCTTTTGAGCTGCAGTGATCCCTGCCAGCTCTCAGTCTGACCCCCACATCCTGGGAGCACTCCTCGCTTGTGGGGAGGGAGCATCATGTAAAAGGAAGCAGTGCAGACTGAACTGTATATGCCACTTGTGGAGACTTACACTAATCTTTGTATTTAAATGGCAAATAGATTTTTTTCCCACTTTGAAAGACTTGGATGCTGTTTAAGTTAGAAAAACAACAGAGCAGCCTTTAATATCCTGACAGAATTTATTACAATGGATTGGGTGCAACGCGTCAGTCCTTACTCTTTAGAAGATATTTTTCCAGCCTTGCTGTAGGCATCTTGCAAGACAATGTATTTAGCAGTGGCTCTTGTCAGGATTTTGGGCTGTAGGTAGGTGACTGGAGGTTTTAATTAAGAGAGCTTTTTCCTTGGGCTAAACACTGGCCAGACCTGGGGAGGCAATCCTTGCAGAGTGGTTGTAGCCAAAGGGGAAGAATAAAGGTTAAAATTAGGAGAGCACAATATATTCTAGCAGGGAGGAGCACTGAGGTACAGAAGAGCAAAGGACATGTTTAGAGTCACAGGAACTTAAAAAATGTGAAAATCAAGCCCTTCTCTCTAAGGTCCCTGCCCACTCACTTCACCTGTAATATTGGAAAAATAATATTTATTCTTATGAGAAGAGGAATAATGAGTAAATTAGCAAGAGGCTTCAAATGACATTTTCAGAAATGTCTCAGTTATTTGGAAACCTGCCACTCAGTAAGAGCCAGGACCATGGTGTGCCCAGCTTGCCTCTGAGAATGGCAGCTGGGCTTTTATCTCAAAAGTCCCTTTGAAAAATACACTAATAAATAATATCTAAATATAATGAAGTAATTCTTTTATCTGTAATACTGAAGCACAT